TCCCCCCGGGGGGCGGGGGGGGGGGGGGGGGCTGTATTTTGCCCGCCCCAATCTAGTCCAACACCCTGGCTTAGGCAGGAAGGGTCCAGTAGGGAAATCAGGGATCAGTCCTCTGACCTTGGTGTTACTAGCACCACACTCTAACCAACAGAGCTAAATGGCTGTTCAACAGGATATTATTGAAACTGGTGCCTTATTACAGGGAAACTACTGGTCAAAAGACAGAATGCATAAAGCCACAGGCATCATGCCTGGAAAAAGCATTTCCCCAAGGCTGAAAGTTCTTTATAGTTTATACTGTTTTTATTTCATCATCTTAATGGAAGGAGCTTCAGTGGACATTCTCCTTCCTTTCTTAAAATCTTATATCCCATAAACATCTTTTAAAGTTCTCTCTTAGGTGTAAGGTAGTAAGTTGAAAGGTACCTATTAACTTAGTACTTTATAGAATAAGCCAAGATGTCCAAAAATTAGATAAATAAAAAAATAATAGTAATTAAATGACTTTAAATGACACAATAAATGGGGTGGGGGGGAAACTGTTTATACTCACTCGAACAATATACTGGTAAATAATTACCAGGCTGACAGCCATGGAAATGTTGGCAAGGAATGAAAGTATAGATAGGCTCTTCAGGTCACGAATAAAGACCAGAAGGATAATAAATGGGAGAAAACACAGCATGTATATTCGTAAATCAATACATCTTCTCTCAGAGAAACTTCTAGTAACCGTGTCATTCATGGAACTTGTTCTATTCTCCAAAAATCCCTCATGGACCTAGAGGAGGAAAAAAAATAATTAAATATTTGTGAAATAAAGATGCTTTTTAATATATTTTAATTCTAGACTGGCTTATTTTCATTCAACTTAAAAACATGTCTTTCCCACGCAATTTAAGCCAAACTTAAAAAGCCAACCATTTGAAATGAGACCACAGAAATGCTTGCATAAAACCCTGTTTTACGGGTCTTGATCCATAACTGGTTTAAATTCAGAACTTCAGTTCAGCAAATGCAACTGTCCATATAGATAAGCCCTACATATTCTGTCATAATCATATAATATTCACTTGCCATGTTATTTAGAAGACTGAGCATATAAAAATTTACATCTGTTGTTGTGCCTTAGAGAATATTTAACATGATCAAGGCTGATGATTTTTTTTATGAATATCTCCCTACTTGTTATATGTACACTGAGATCAAACACACTAGTTGGTTAAATCAAAAGGCACCTCCCTCAAAATGTCATTTCATTTTTTTTTTTTTAAATGTTATAGTGCTTTTCCAGGAACAGATCCAGGATTTCCGAAAGGGAGCAGTGTGGAGGAGGCAACCACCCAGCACAGGGGCCGCATCCCCTGCTCCCAGCCTCCTCTACCCCCACCAGCAAGGACACATCAAGTCATGGGAACCTTTGGGGACTTTCTGAAAGTCCCTAAAGCAGGTTAAAATTCCCCCTCCCTTCAGCTTCCTGATCAGAGAAACATTCCTCCCCTTCCCCCACCCTCTTCCATGCCCCCTGCTGGCTACTCTTGCTTTATCTGTGGTTTGAGGTGGGGAAGCTACAGTCAGCAGGGCAGAGCAGGGGCTGGGCTCATCTGGGAAGGGAACAGCAGCAACAGGACATCTGGAGAGTAGTTCCTTCCACTCTCCCCAGTCCCGGAGCAGGCACTGCCACTGTCCCCGTCTCCAGCTGAGCCAAGCCCCTGCACAGGAGGCAGAAATGGCTCTGGTGCTTCCCCACCCGCATAAACACAGAAAAAGGGAGTGGGGGGAAGGAGCAGAGACTCGGTATGCCTTTGAGCAGGAAGGAGAGAGGATTTTTGCCTGCTTCAGGGACTTTAAAAGGTCCCCAGAAGTTCCCATGGTACACTCCAATCCAAAAGGGGAATAACAGCTGCATCACTGCCCCTCCTTGTATCCACTCCTGTGCTTTTCCTTGTTAGAGTGCATGAACTTTTAATTTTTTCTATCACATTTGTCTATCCTAGACATCCAATATTGATGTTGTTAGTTTGTTTCCATTATAAAAAGCCCTAAAATTATGTAAATGATAAAAAACAATGAATTCTATATATGGAGATATAAGCAAAACTAGAAAGTTAGTGGCCTGAAATAACAATTAAAGGCTTTCTAAAATGCAAGTAAGACAACAAGATTACTGTAGTCAACAACTAATCAGCTTGCACAGTTATAGCTCAGGCGATGTACTATAATAGGTACAGACAAGTTGTGGCACACATGCCACAAGTGGCACAGGCAGCCTCTGTGTGGCACTCAGTGGGTTGAGAAGGGGAGGGGACAGGGAGCCCAACGAGATAGTGCAGGGAACAGAAAGCAGAGCAGCAGAGCAGCCAGAGGAAAGGGATTGGAGTGGCACTCAGAGGGGTATATAAGTTTGTTGATAAAAAGGTTGGTCCTCACTGTACTAGGAAATAAAAGCTATTCTACCCTCACAAAAAGATGCACTTACAATAATATTTAAGCATTATAAAACACATCAATCAGTTTGCAATGAAACTGCATGCAAAACTGTCATGTTTTAATTTCTCTGTAGTCCCATTAGTACTAACAAAACACCATGGTTAGAAATAGTCAGTGCACATTTTACTGGTTTTCTGGCTGGGAATTTTTTAGATGGGAAGGGAGTGGAGGGGTTACAGCATGGCCCGTCCCCTTAAGGGAAAGCAGCTATTTAGACTGTAGCTATGAGGTTAATGAGGGTATGGCTCCCCAAGAAACAAAAACCCCAGCAGGCAGAAGGGAGATGGGAGGGCGGAATGGAGGAGAAACACCAGAGGCAGGAGACCTCTGGGCTATAAGAAGGACAAGCCTAGGAAAAGAAGGCTGATGCCACAGCAGATGCAACCCAGGGTCCAATGCATAAAGTTTTGGTTTCCTTTCATGATGAAAGACTGCATACTACTGAGGCTAGTTGAGAGATGCTTGGGAAAGGGGCAAAAGCCTGGCCACAAAACGCCCTGAAGCAGCCATCTGCTACAGGGAGAAAGAGAGAGAAATTGAGATTTTGGTAGGTGAGCAGGGTAAGGACTCTGAACAACTCAAGAAGCTCAAGAGGCTGCTTGAGGCTGTAGAGAAAAGAATAAGGAAGGAAACTGGACTGACAGTTTAAATGTCACAAGCAAGATTCAGATTTAATGGTCTATTTGAGATGAATGGACAGTTCACTTCTCTCAGTAGTATTATTTTGGGTTGTTTGAAATACAAAAGACAAAACCCATCTTTGAAAAACTGTTTTCTTTACAACAAACAAAAGTGTCATGGGACAGGGTCCTTAAGGATGGCTGTGTTACCCCTAAGGCCCCTCAACTGTGCCAATTCGGCCTGATGGGCATCCACTATTCTCGCCCACCACGTCTTGTTGCAATAATTGATATAAGGAGACTGCCTTCAAGCCTATCTGAGCACGGTCC